TGAGGTTGACTGCAGGTGGGTGGAGGAATCTGAGGGAGCAGGACTGGAAAGGTATGGCCCAAGCCCACGTCTTCAGAGAAGCCAAACACACACACAATGGGCCCCAATATTGAAAAACACCAGATGATCTTCTTCGGAGGGACATAAACAGGCCAAGCGGATGCAGGTTAATAAAACCCGCAAAAGCCCAGACAGGAACACTTAAAATGCCCCAGAAACAAAGCATACCGTGACAAATTCTCACCCAATGCACAAGTACATGCACCAGAATGTTCCCAGGCACAGAGGGACCTTCGTATCCCGAGCCTCCACCCGTGGACACTCAGGTGTACCTGCCCAGCACCAGGAGCACACACACATTGCTGTGCCCTCCTAGACCTACCCACAGAAACCCTCGGGGGAGGGGGACCAAGCACTTGGCTGTGCACACACCCCACAGAGCCAGGCCCGTGTCTCCTGAGCCTCAGTAATGCACGATCCATACCCGGAGATAAAAGTCTAGACAATAGACGGCTGTTTATGACAACGAGGCTCTCCAAGTTTGGGGCCAGGCGATAAATCTCTGGTGAATCTTCCTATAACTCAACTTCTGGCTGTAGTGACCAGAGAGCCTGCAGACAGGAAAGCAGCAAAATGGGAGAGACTTTTAAATCCTGAGCAGAAGGCGACTTCCCCGATGGGGCAAGGGAATGCAGGCGGCCACACTCACCCCATGTACAGTGTCACACTGTGGAAGGTTTTGGATCAAGCTTCAGAACACAGGCGAGTCAGGTTCCTGGCTCCGGGAAATTGTGGGAAATGTGCAGGCAGACGGCAGGGCCTGGAGGCTGGGACAGACCTACAAACCATTCTTGCTGCAGGCAAAGGATCTTTTTTGTTAGTGACCAGAATCTTGCTATGTGTCACCTGAATTTTTTCACTCCACATCTCTCTCTTTCTCTCTCTCTCTCTCCTTTTCCTTTTTGGATTGATGGGCTGTTCCCTTTTGCATTTTCGACCCAGGCGTCTGATTACAAGTAAAGAGGCACTGAAGTTGATCTCATAAAAATGCCACGAGCTCACTTTGATCTGCACGGACTGGGTCCGAGCCTAAGTAGGCGCTAAAGCCAGGGAATGGCGGCTTCAGCCAACCCAGCATCCTCCCGGCGGCCAGGCCAGAGATCCGGGTGGCCCAGGAGGGCCATCTTGCCCAGAAAAGGCATTTTCTATGCTGCTGCAACTGAGTTTGGAAAACAAGGTCCAATGGTAGCGGCTCCATTTCCAGACTGCTTTTAAGACATTTCCTTCATTTTAGAGCATTTGTGAGGGGGCCAGTGAAACTGGCTCGTAAAATGGGACTTTTATGGGGAGAAATGGGGTCGACTCGCTAGCCTCCTGGGACAATCCCTCTACAGAGGAAAGTGGGTGGGGCTGCGGGGGCGGAAGAGCTGCCCTTCTCCCTCCCCCCATCCAGTCCGGGGGCCTGGGGAACCACGGAGCAGCGTCCACCAGCTTGCGTGGCCTGACTTGGGGCCTTGGGCTTGAGGTGATGGCCGGGGCTAAGGAGAAATGGGGGCCGAGAACTGGCAGTCCTACCGCCTCTTAGTTCCCTGGCTGGGGGTGGGAGGTGTACCTGGTGCAGTATAAACCGCTGGCCTGAAAATCCCCAAGCACACTAGAGGGATTATTAAACGCAGCGGTATTACTCTAAGGGAGAGAAATGTGCAAAATGTGCAAGCCGACTTCTCAGGAGGGTTCACCGTTGCCTGCTCAGCCTCGGAACCGATGAGGGTGTCCACGCGCTTGTTGCTTATCGTTTTAGGGACTCCACTCGCAACTGAACTTCCAGTCCAAGTCCACCAGAATTCTAAAGGCCCCCTTCCTCCTCCCTGGCTTTGCCTCCCAGTTCAAGGTCTGTAGGGTGGGCTCCTTTCCCCACCACACATAATCTGCTCTCTAGAGTCCAGAGCAGCTGCAGAAGGTGGACCCGCGGCAAGGTGGCCCAGGGCTGTGTTGGGGTGCTGCACTGGAGTCTCCTGAGCCACATTCAGGAGTTACTGACCCCTTCTGGAGCTGCCTGTGGTGTCCCAGTGGGGACGGGAAGGGTGCTGTAGTCTGTCGTGGCCCTGGCCAGAGTACGTGGCAGCTGCTCAGACCCCAGCTGCCTGCTAGCAGCTAGGCAGGCAGGCGATGCTGACTGAAGTCACCAAGAGCCAGTGGGACAGGCAGGATAGCCGCGCGGGGCAGAGAATTCCGGGTGAAAGCTGAGACTCCAGGACAGCAGAGGGGCCACAGGCACCCAGGAGACAAGAGAAAAAAGCCGCCTCCACCCCAGGGAGTGCAGCATGCCAGGGTTCTTGGGAACCAATCTGGGGCCATGATGAATTTTATGTCTAGGGAGGCACTGATGCCCTGGGGGGCAGCCTGGAGCAGGCAGCTCAGTCTATACTGCAGAGCCCCTTGAATCTAGAGTCAGGCAGGGGCCACTAGCCCATCCCATGCACATTTTTTTTTGCCAATCAATGCTTCGCTGACCTCAACGGCTGGGGCCTTCTCTCCCTGACCCCAGTAGCAATCTCCAGTTGCTGGGATTTTTAAAAGTTGTTGAAAAGTTCAAAGTCAGACCAAAACTAGAAAAAAAAAAATTGAACTTTGTGCCTTGCTTTCAGGGGGAAGAATATTAATTCTCAGAAGCCTCTGTTGGGTGACCCTAGTGTTGCCTGGACATCAACTCCTTTGACATTCTTTCTTACCTTTCTTTTTTGTTTCAAGGAAATAGAGCCGCCAGCAGCTTCTTGCAGCCGCCTGGCTCACTTTTATGGTGGCCCTGGAATAAACTTTGGTGGTCAAATTCAAGTGCTTAGGCCCACAGCTGTCTCCTCACAGGAAGCGCACCCCCTCCCCACTGGCAGCCCTGGCGGTACAGAATTCGCCTTGGGGGCTTGGGCCCCACATCGCCCTAGAGGCCAGGATCGGGAAGGAGGCTGGGCCCTGAAGGGAAGTGGGGAAAGCCACAGCTGAGATTCAGCCCCTCCACACATCTGCAAGGGATGTGGGTGCCTCTTGCTGGTTCCTATCACTGTTTGGGGAGCATTTTGCCTCCAATAAACTCAAGCTTAATGATGTCAGCACGAACCCCATAAAAGCCATAGTCCATAGTTCCCCATCATTATAATTAAAAATTCTGGCCCCAGCTCACTCTATAAAAAGGGGTAAAGGAAGGAGGAAAAGCAACAGATTTTTCTTCTTGCAACCCCTTACCGACAGAGAAGTCTCACACTTTAGCGAAGCCCCAATCTAGTTCTTCTCTGCCCTCAGTTAAGATCTGACTAGGACTAAGGAAGGGCTCAGGAAGCAGTGCCCAGCAAAGAATGGGTAGGGGGTGCCAGCGGCCTGTCCCTGGGTATTCCAGAGCCACCCGAAGACTGGGATGCATGGCCGAGGTGGCTTCACCTCAGGTGTTGCTCTAAAGCCTGAGGTAATTTGGGGGGAACCCAGAGGGTTGTGAAGAAATGGATTTGGGGGGCTGTATTTAGGGACAAGTTACCATTTTTTGTGGCTTCCCCATCTGGTTTTTTGGGGTCTCAGTACCTCATCAAGTTCAGCAAGGAAAATCAAATTCAAATAATATTTTTAAAGTGGAAACCAACTTTAACCAAGAGTTATGGATGTAAAGAGGTTTTGGGCCATTTCTGGCTTTCCCTGAGAGCACAATGGACTGAATCCTTGAGGGCTTCAGTTCCTCCCCTCCTACCCAAACAAATCAAACAAATGGTGCCCTGGCGGCTCCTCCTTGGATCCAAGGTTGCTTTCTGCTCCTGGCGGTTGCTCTGGCACCGAGTCCAGAACCTTTCAATAGAGTGATTTTCAGCTGGCCAGATGTGTCCTGCGGCATCTGGAGGGATGTGAGGCAAGCGAGGGCAGAACCACTGAGTCCACTCCTTGGGCTGCAGCCATCCAGGAGGCTGGCAGACCTGAGGGAGGGCAGGGGAGGGCTGAGAAACAGGAAAGAGGCACCAGGCCTGGCTGCAGCCCCTGGAAGCAGGGCCAGTGGGGACTTCCCCTAGGGAGTGGGGAAGGTTCCTCAGCTCCCTTCCATTGCCCTCCTGGTCTGTCCTGAAGAGTCATACCTGGCCCCACCACCCTCCTCACAGCCCCCAAATCATTCAAGGATAGGAGCCTCAAACTCAGACCCCTCACTGTATCCTTCCGTGACCCTGACACCGGGCTTCTTTTTAGCCCCCAAGCTGAGGCTGACCCCCCCAACCCAAAGGGCCCCAATAGAGCAGATACATGGCTCTCATTCCAACCTTTTTCTTTGGAGTTTGAGACTTAAAAATCCACAGTGAATGTAGCTTTCTGTGCATTGATTGACAATAAAGGCAGGCATGAAATATTCACCCAGGGCCACTCTCTCATACTAAATATTTAACACAACATTAGAGAAGGTTTTTCCCAGACTTCACCAGGCACCGGCTGGGCGGCTGGCTCACTGCTTACCACTGGTTTATGACTAATCTGAGTCCCTAGCCGCCGGCAGCACAGCGAGCCAGACAAAGTTGGGACACTAGCTTGCTGCTGGGCTGCCTCACCTTTGGGAAACTTCAGTTGCTCTTCTGGGGAGTCTCTCCAAAGGGAAAAGGGAGTCTCGATGACACCCAGCCTTGGTCAGGAAGAGAAGCCACTTCTTCAAACTCTTCTATACTGGCGCTGGCCCTCTGCGGGTTGGCGGGTAAGAGTTCCTGAGAGGTGGGGGTAGGATTCACATCTCTGTCGGAATCAGGCAGTGGGGGAAGAGACCTCATCCCCACCCTAGTCTCAGGCTGATCACGGGGAGGAGGCAAGACCCCCCATACGTGAGAGCCCTCCTCCTTCCCCCAATCCTGGGGAAAAGAGAGCAGCAGCTAGAAAAAAATACAATTACCCCCTCCCAGCCACCGCCCCCGCCCATCCCACCGCCCACCCCACCCCAACTCTCTCTCCTCCTTTGCTCGCTCTGTGGAATGGAGAGGAGGGGAGTGAGGAGAGAAAAACGAATACAAATCTGCAATTGATTTTCATAATGTTTCTGCGGTGTTTGCAAACCAATCGCCTGAAGGTCCCCATCTTACCTAAGAGAGAACCCCTCCTACGTCTGCGAAGTGCTCGGAACTGATATATGACAATATCTACTTTGGATCACGTGCTCCAGGAGAGAGACTAAGACGGATAACGCGTCATCTCGCCTTCCCAAATTTTCCCCCCTCGCTAGACTGGGTCCAAAACCTCCATCTGGAGCCGGCAGGAGAAGAGAACGATGTTTAACTCGGTCAACCTGGGCAACTTCTGCTCGCCGTCGCGCAAGGAGAGGGGCGCTGATTTCGGCGAGCGAGGCAGCTGCGCCTCCAACCTCTATCTCCCCAGTTGCACTTACTACGTGCCCGAGTTCTCCACGGTCTCCTCCTTCCTGCCCCAGGCCCCCTCTCGTCAGATCTCCTATCCCTACTCGGCCCAAGTGCCCCCGGTCCGGGAGGTCTCCTACGGCCTGGAGCCATCCGGCAAGTGGCATCACCGGAACAGCTACTCCTCCTGCTATGCGGCGGCCGACGAGCTTATGCACCGGGAGTGCCTGCCTCCTTCCACCGTCACCGAGATCCTCATGAAAAACGAAGGCTCCTACGGCGGCCACCACCACCCCAGCGCCCCGCACGCAGCCCCCGCCGGCTTCTACTCCTCAGTCAACAAGAACAGCGTCCTGCCTCAAGCCTTCGACCGCTTCTTCGACAACGCCTACTGCGGCGGCGGCGGCGGCGGCGACGCGCCTGCCGAGCCCCCCTGCCCGGGCAAGGGCGAGGCCAAGGGGGAGCCCGAGGCGCCCCCGGCCTCGGGACTGGCGTCCCGGGCTGAGGCCGGTGCAGAGGCCGAGGCCGAGGAGGAAAACACGAATCCCAGCTCGTCTGGTTCAGCCCACTCGGCGGCCAAGGAGCCGGCCAAGGGAGCCGCCCCCAGTAGGTAGCAGCGGCCGGGCGGACAGGCGGGCAGCGAGGGAGGGAGCGCGAGAGGGAGGGCGAGGGTAGGGGGGAGGCGAGGGGAGCGGGGACGGCCTCGTGTTTTGGGTCAGTCCGATTTTATGTGGAGTTTTATAAGCATTCAAAGGATTTTATTATAACCTACAAAGCCCTCTCTCCCAACGACTCGACTTTTTACGATGGAGAAGGGGTGGGGAGGGAGGGAAAAGGGCTCTTTGGAAAAGCCGGGTGAACCCCTCTCCCGGTTATCTCCCTCGGTCTGTGAAATTTTTAAAAGCGCCACCATCGCGGGCGATATTAACTTTGATCGTGAACTTAGAGGAGCATTTAAGGAAGGATGGGGAGCCGGGCCGCCAGGGGGTGGGAGGGAGGGGAGGGGTGGAGGGGGAGAAAGGGGAGGGCGAGGGAAAGACAGGGAGAAACTCAGAGAGGGGGAGAGGTGGGGGAGAGAGGCGACGGAGCAGAACCTCAGTCCGGAGAGGCCAGCCAGGGCTGCTCTGCTTCTTTTAAAAACTATTTTTGAAATGTTCAAACTATGTGCTGGCGGGTCCTCGAGCAGAACCGCGAGCAGCCCGGGGTCAGCGGCGACAGGGGGTTGAGGAGAGGCAGCTCGGGGCTCCCCTCCGCTCCAGGCCGGGGTCTCAGCGTTTCTGTGCGGTCCGCGGCCTCAGCGCCGGCCTAGCGGGGATGGCGCGGCCCGCCGCGCGTCCCGGGGCGCCAGGGCCCCCGGAAGCGGTCTGGGCTCTCCGGTGTCCCTGGTGCCTGCTCGCTCGCTTCCTCCCCGCCTCCCCACTGCTCCCGCCTGATCTCACTTCTTGGCGCCTGTTCTCCGCGGTTGCCCTAGATTTCTGAGGGAGGGGTGGTGGGCTCGCAGAGCCACCGGGAGGCAGCGCAGGAAGGGGCAGAGGACCGCGGCTGAGCAGGCGGGGGCCACCAGGACGCACTTGGGCCCGACCGCCTCCCTTCTCCCCCAGACTCCGTCCGCCCCGGCGCTCGCCCGAAGGGAGGGGGCGCGGGCCCCGCGGTGGCCCGCGATCGGGTCGAGCTGGACCTGGCAGGGGGGTCGCGGCTCCCCCAGTGCTGCCCCGCGGAGAGCCGGCGGCCTGGCGGGAGGGCGGCTGGCGGTGGGGCTGGGAGAAGGGCCGCCGAGAGCTCAGCGGGCTGGGGTCGCCTGGGTCTCACGTGTCTCTCTCCCCCCTCCTCGCACTTGCCCCCTCCCCTCCCCTCCAGACGCCCCCCGCACCCGCAAGAAGCGCTGCCCTTATTCGAAATTCCAGATCCGGGAACTGGAGCGAGAGTTTTTCTTCAACGTGTATATCAACAAAGAGAAGCGGCTGCAGCTGTCGCGGATGCTGAACCTGACGGACCGACAAGTGAAAATTTGGTTTCAGAACAGAAGGATGAAAGAAAAAAAACTAAGCAGAGACCGGCTGCAGTATTTCTCGGGAAATCCTCTGCTGTAACCGCAGACCGGGCCCTTTTGGGGGAGGGAGGGGAAAGGGGGAAATTATTTTATTTTATTTTTATTTTTTATTTTCTAAATCGCCTTCTTTCTGCGGGTGGAAAACTGGACTGTGGCCAGGGCTGGCCCCCACTGCCGTTGCCCGCACTTCTTTCCGGAACCTCCTTCACCTTCGGGCTGACTCTCGCTAGGGGACAGGACGGGCCTGAAAGGGGGTGAAGGGAAGTGTCTGACCCCTGGCGAGTGGACTCCGTTGGCGCCGAAGCCAAAACGCTTTATTTAAAAGAAAACACACCTCGCGACGCTGTCTTGCCGCTCGGATTGGGTGGGGGAGGGGCGAGAGGAGTGGGCGCTTGAGCGAACAATCCTCGAACTGAAAGCCTTCTTTGCCCAAGTGTAAAGATCTGCTAAGACGCCGTGTCCGCGAGGGGAGGCCTCGCGGGCTTCCCGCCCCTACCCCACCTGGCCCCACTGCTAGGGGGCAGCTAAATGTGGTCCCGCCTTGCTGTGAAATTTCTGTACCTTCGACCTGGTGTTAGGTGTGCAAAGTCCGTGTCCTACCTCCGTCTGCGCCCAGGCCCCGCCCGAGCCTAGCTGTTCTCCCTGTGAACGTGTAGAGACCTTCCTTTGAAATTTCTTAACTGGTGCATTGAGGTTTCCTAACCTTTTTCCAAGCTGTGCCCCACTCCATGGATTTATAGCTATAGTCGATGCAGTTGTTACCTCCTTTTTTTCTTATGAGACAAAAAAAAAAAGGTGGAGGTAGACAGGCAGGAGGGAGATTGTATTGGGCGCCTCCTCCATGCTGGAGCCTGAATTTTTGTAAATACATTTCACAAGCGTTTCTTTCTACCCAGAGGGGGTGGGGGGAGGACCCGCCTGGAATGAGATTCGAATCACCCATCTCTCTCCATGTGCGTGTGTGCGTCTGTACATGTGCAATCCCCACCCTGCTCCCATCCCAGAGGGATTGCTGTGAATTTTTTTGTGTGGCAAATAAAGGTACTTCATTCTGTTCAATATTATGATTTTATTTGACCCTTTTATTAGCCTCTCTCCTCTTAAAACGCTCAATGCTCCCAAGGCGGGGGAGGAGGCAGGCGGGCAGAGCCCGGCCATGAGGACAGGCACGTGAAGGCGAGGTAGGCCGAGCTGGCGAGCCTGCACCCTCTTCTCCACTGGCAGGGGCAGAGCGTGGCGGTAGCTTCCTCCCGCCCTCAAGCTGAGGACATTCCCTGGCTACTCTTATAGCCTTTCTTTCTCACGTGCAGCTGGAGCTGCGTCCAAACGCCCAGAAACGCTTTCCGTTTAAGTACACATTTGTTGTTGAGTTAATTGTAACCATCATCGAATTTAAATTTATAGGAATTTTCTTGGCTCCACCAAGAGCCCTCCCGCCAGATGTCTCCGTCTGTCACAGTTAAATATGTAGGGTTGGTGGTAGGGCTTTCCTTTTTTTTTTTTTTTCTCCATGAGAAGACTGTATTGGAATTTTTATATACAGTTTTGAAGGAAGGAGGGGAGGGGAGGAGAAACAAGCCCCCTCCCTTTCCTCACTGCGGGTGCCCCTGAGGGTGGGAAGGTGGGACTGGGCCCCTTCCTCTCAAGCACAAATGGCCAGGCTCCTCCAGACACAACAAGATGACAGGCTGGGGCCACCCTGATGTCTATACATTGGGTCTCCCAGAGTAGAAAGCCCTAGAGATTTGTTTCGTAAGAGGTTGGCATGGGTGGGGCACTAGAGAAGGAGATGACCGTGGGGACAGTCGCCACACCCATCTATGTTTGATGCGTATTTCTGCTGTATAAAGATAACCGTGGTCCCTCCAGTGCTTTCAGTGAGGACAAATCTGGCAGTCTCTGATCCAAATTCGCTATTGAGGGGCAGAGATTTGGAACCAATTCTCTCATCTTTCCCCTCTCTTTGGAACTGTTCTTGTGTAATTCAAAGAAAATGTTTGTGTCAATACAATTCTGTTGAATGAAAGAAAAAGGCAGCATGACTACTGACTGTGCGTCTAGATTCTGTCACTGTTTTCCATGACAGGGATCCTTGCAGCTTAGGTGTCTGGATCTCTAATGTATAAATGTGAGTCTTGAGACAAAACTTGCAAACTGGTGTATATATGCGGCCCCACAATTTCCTCATGTGCCTGCACACGAATATTTTATTTGTCGGTGTGCCTATGGGTGCACGAGAAAGAATATTATCTGTACGCTTTTGCCTGTAGTATGGAGTAAACCTAAGGACATGGACATCTAGGGCTTGTGTCCTCTGTGGTGTGGAACCACAGGCAGTGTTAGTGAGTGTCGGCAGGGATGCAACTGAGCATCCTCTGTGTGTGTGTGCATGTGTGCCTATGAGAAACTTCTGTAGGTATGGTGTTTATCCACTCACATCAAGGAATATTGGGCCGCCAGACATATTTCCAATAAAATAAGATGGAGATAACTCTATAGAAAAGACCTGTTTATAAAGCAAAATATGAATCTCCAAAATCGCTCCTGATTTTGGAGAAAAATATTTAAATCCCGCAGCTACCACTTTCTCTGAAATGTGCAGCCCAGAAAAGGTCCCCAGTTGCAGAAGGGTTTTCTGAAGGGGGGCGGGGGTCATAGTGAAAGAAAAACAAAGGCTTCTGTGACCCAGGCCCAGGAAACTGCCAGTCCTTGGTGACTCTCTGAAAGTGAGGAAAAAGGGGTCTCTGTCCCCCAAACAGACCCACCTTCGGCCCGGGATGTCCAGCCCCCCTAGCCGGTCGGGGGCACTCTAGGCTTAACCTCTCGGGGTAATCCCCTCCAGCCACCGCGCTGCTCGGGAACAAAAGATCCTCGTCTAGACGCCGCCATAAAGCGACCCCCCCGCGCCTCCAAACCCAGTTTCATTTCGGCCTTAACGACCCAGTCTGGCCTGTGTTAGAAAACGCTTCCGCCCTAAATAGTAAACAAATCCGCAGTGGAAGGTCTTGGCACCCCCAACACACCCCAGGCCCCGCTCCATTACCCCCTTGCCCCATGTTTTCCCCCTCTTCTCCTCCAACCTTTCTCAGCTCCCGGCTCCCCAGCCCCCTTGCCCCCCTCCCCCAGTAAATAAACCCGAGGCCGAGTTCAAAGTTTCCTGGAGCTAAGGAGGAATGTTGGTTGTAAAAATCCAAGTTTATAGCGCACGTGGGAGTTTACAAGGGTATTAAGTGGTGTGGGCTGAGAGAGAGAGCACTCTGGGCCCTTCCCCATCCCACCATGGGCTTTGGGGGTGCTGGGGGACTTGAAAGGAGAAATGGATTGGGGCCAGCCTTGGGTTGGGGTTTCTTTGTCCCTCAGACCCCTAGGTTGTTGGGGAAGGTCGATGCTAGGGCCTCTTGGAAGAGGGCTCACACAATCCCCACCAAGCGGGGCTGAGAGAGAGCCCACGGGTCCTAGGTGTCCCGGATGGAGAGGATGGGGAGCTCCGCTCTGGGGGAGCAAGAAGTTGTAGACCTGGCATCTGAAAGGTGAACAGAGTTGGGGGTACCTGGAGCCAGTTCTCAACCAGAGGGAAACTAGCTGGGGCTAATTTCTCGAGTGGGCTGAAGGCAAGAGGGCTTTTCTCACCAGGGCGAAGAAGAACTTTGAACTTCAAGGGAGTCAAGGGCACCCCCCCTTCCCTCTCCCCGCCCCTCTCAGGAATCTGTAGGGCAATTCTTTCTGGGCCAATATTCCCTCAAGGGGGAAGCCCCTGGGGTTTCCTGGTGCCCCAGGGCTGGATAATGCTGTTTACTGAACCCTTCCTGCTCAGATCTCTGCCAGAACTGTGTGCACGCGACTACACTCTTTATTATTCATATAAACCTTTGGAAAAGGCAACGCCTGGGAAGTTTTTATAACTTTGTTTGGCATAAAAGTTTTACAAGATTTCTCCTCCCTTTTTGAAAAAACTTAAAGTTTTGTTCTTTCCATAGAATGAAATCTCAGGATCTTTGGGAGCTTGGGGAGAGAGAGGCTCTGGGGCCCGGTATGTGTGACAGGAATGTCTGGGGCTGCTTCTTTCCGCCTAAGGCAAAATAAGGCTCAAAGGTTGGGGTCAATCCTTCCTGAGGCCCACTTTGGACTCAGCTTTGGGGAGTCCTTCCAGGCCTCCAGGAGGGTCCTGTCCACTCTGCTCTGGAGACTCACCCTTACAGACCCCGAAAGTCAGTGGGACCAGACCCTCCCCATCACACCCTCTTGTTCTCCTGCAAGCATCATTCTCTCTCTCTCTCTCTCTCTCAAACACACACACACACACACACACACATAGCCCCTCACACACCCTCAACCCACTGCACAAAGTGGAGACCCATAACCTTGACTCAGACCACCGATTTGGGATTTGGGAGGATCTCTGCGCACACAGCCCTGCATCCCTGACTCCTGCAAAGTCCACAATGGGTTTGAAGAAAGACAGATTCAAAACACCAAGGAATTCCTGCCCAGAGGTTGCAGAGGTTGCAGGACTGAAGGAGGGCCGGCTGGGCTGCAGTCTGAGAGCTCAGAGAACAAAGGTGCCCGTGCGTGCACGGGGACATGGCCTTGAGCTGCTAAGCCCACGGTGACCCCTTGGATCTGCCCCCCTCCTGGGACTGACAGATCCCCACTCTTTCATTTCCCCTGACTCCAGCCTTGGGGACACCAATTGAGCTCAAATTGGGGCTATTTTAACGTCCATCTCTGGAGCTCAGGACAGCGATGGTGCGACTCCTCCAAAGACAGGCCTGGTGGACAAGGCTCCTGTGGGGCGGTGGAACTTAAGATACCTGAGCCCTGGAACCGGCACTTCAGGGAGCTATCTGAGTCCGTAGGAACGTCCCAGCGCCCGCTTCTCCTTCCCTCTAATGGCGACTGCCGAGGCCTGGCCGCCGGCTGCTGGCAGCCCTATACTTCGCCTTGTGAGGAACCGAGTTAAGACTGAAGGCAGGAGAAGATCAACTCCAAGCCTGAGCTGCGGGGCTGGGGAGGGGTGCGGCCGAGCCTGGGGCTCTCTCCCCACTGAGCCCAGCGCAAGAGAGAAAAACAAAAAAGGCTTGGGGAAAAGTCAACGGGAAGGAAAGCATTGAGGAGGAAAGAAAAGAGCAAAGAGTAAATTGCATAATAAAGAGAGAAAGAAGGAAAAGGGGAAACGAGGAAGACAACGAATTAAGGAAGAAAGAAAAGATCTGAAAAAGAGAAGGAAAAAATGAATTGAAGAAAAAAAGAGAAAGAAAGAAAAATACAAAGAGAAAGAAGCAAATAAAGAGAAATGAGGAGGACAAAGAAAGAGGAAAAAAGATGGAAAACAGATCTTCGAGAAGAAATTTAGCTGGTAAGGGAGAAGCGGGGCGGGGGGGGGGGGGGGGGGGGGGTTTCTCCGCAGTAAGCCGGCCCAACCACAGCCCTGGTTCCGGCCGGAAACCCGACCTACTGGAGCAACTTGGAAACAAATCATTAAAGTGGGGAGCAAGGCTTTCCCCCCAAGACATCCTCCCATCCTTCTCTTCCTCCCAAAGCTTCTCTCGGACATGTTTGCTGTCTGGTTTCGATTCAGGAGGCAAAGCTAAATAACTGGCCAGCTTAGGCAGGGCAAGAAAGCAGTTGGGCTGGCTCAGGTTAGCAGACTTGGGGAGGCACAGAGGATGTTTCGGGGTAAAATAAATATTTGGGGCTGTGTACACACAACCAAGCTCAATTTAGACACAGGTATAGACAGCAAACTTCATAGCATCTGAGTGCAAATGTGTACAATGTCCAGATGTGAGACTCTGATGGCTGGGCTGCCGGGGTGGCTGTGAGATCTGGCGTAGACCAAAGGCCCCTCCAAGCATCCTTGGCCTCCCATCTCCCTCTTGTACCTGTCTGAAAATATCTTTTTTGGGCTTCTGAGCATTCTGCATTTTTCCTGGACTTTGCCTGCTCCCAGTTCAGCGGGAACAGAGCCCGGTGTTGGCGAAGAAGAAAAGCAAATGTTTCCTTCAAATTTTGGGAAGAGAGTGATTTATCTGGGCCTCCAAAATGAGAGGAAAAACCCCTGCAATTTTCACTACTGGTGTGATTTTGTTTTCCATTTCCATTGAAGACACTTCAATACACACACTTTATTATTATTACATTTTATTTTACCCCAAAGGGAGAGACAATCCTCCTTTTTCTCTTCACCTTTGGAAATTCTCAGATGACTTTCTTAACCTTTTGAGGAAAGCCCAATAATTTTCCTTGAAGAAATCAGGGTGCTTCTGAGGTGCTTTGAGGGCTAAAGCCCAGGAAACATCCGAGGGCCCTTCCTGTTCATTGAGCACCACACTTTCCTTCTGTTTTCACACGGGGACTCCTGGTGCCCCAGCCCTCCGCCTGCCCTCTGGAACCCGCCGATAGTCCCAGCGTTCGCACAGAGCACCCGCCTCCTCTCCTTCCCTCACAGTCCCACAGGCGGCAGGAAGCCCAGCCCCCCATCAGTGCGGCCCTTCCAGGGTTCGGGCCGGGGAGGAAGGGCATGAGGTGCCAGGGCTCTTGGGCTGGGTGGGATTTGTCAAGATGTAGGCGCAGCCTGAGCCGGGCTCTGGCCTGCAACCCCTGGATTTTCACATCCCCAAGTTGAGGCAAGAGGGAGCCTCCGACTCAGGCAGAGGCACAGGTCTCTCGGCACTCCAGGAAAGTTGGGGAAATGGCTTAACAGGGTGATTCTACCAACGCAGACTTTTCCTGGACCCCAATGCAGTTCCCCAGGGGCGCAGGCTTGAGGGTCTTGGCCCTGTGGGGCCGGGCTGGTGGGCGCCTGGCAGCGGCGGCAGGCGGGATGGCCGTGGCAGCCCGAGTGCCTTTGAACGCCAGGCCCGGACAATAGGACGGAAGCGGCCTTTGCTCGTGGCCTCGGGAAAGACCGAGCCCAAGGGGGCAGGGCTGGGACCCACATCCGACTGAACTTTCCGGGACCCGCACAAATGCTCCCCTCACCCTGTCCTCACTCTCACATCTTCCTTCCTTTCGCCTCCCCTGGGGCAGAATCCCAAAGTCTGCAAAAACCCAACTAGTTATTCCTGTCTGCGTCGGCGCGGGCTCTGGTTTAACAGCCCCGGGTTTGCGTTTATCCTGCGTAATTAGAAGCAAACATTTGTCCCACCGGGGGTCCCACTTAAGCTGATGAATTTGATTTCTTTTTTCATTAATGGGCCGTGTTTATCATACTTCTAATTATTTCAACTTTAAACACTATTCGTTCTTGTGAGGAGGTGGGAGTCGAGGCGGGAGGCTCCTGCTCCCGGGGGGGATTACTTTCCTTAATAATGGCAAGGATTCTGAAGCGACTCCATCCCCTCCCTTGGCCGAGGTAAGGAGTGAGTTTGGGATGGGAGTCGGGCTGGTAGGGGGAGACAGGTCGTGAAGCCGAGCGACTCTGCTCCTCTCCCGCTGGCTCCCCAGGTTAAGCCATGGGGCTTGCTGGTTTTAAGAGGTAATCTGGAATTTGTCTCCTTCACCCTCCGCCGCTGCCTCCCTCGCCCCCTCCCAGGCGGGGCTGAGACCCTTCCTCTGCGAGGCTCCTCGCAACCTTCCGCCGCCCCAGCCGGATCCCCGCCGGGCCTGGGCAGAGGCTCCGGTGGCGGAGTCCCGGCCCCGAGCCACTAACACCGAGAGAAACACTAGGAAAGGCTGAGGTGGCCAGGCCGCACCTGGGCGTGGGGGAGAGGGCCCAGCAGACCCCTAAACGGGAGCGGGGGCAAGGGCAGGGGCCTGTGATGCCAAACTCCAGGGACAGGCACACCAGGCAGGAAAATAAAGGAGATGTGAAAGAGGGGGGAGGGAACCCCCAAAGCCATATAATTCTCAATTGCTTTGGTCTTTAATTTCATCGCCCCATAAATGAGGAAATATCAGTTCCCATACTAAATTTTTATCCCCGGCTGATAAATATGACGGGGAATTTTCGTTGGGTCCTCGTAAAAGCGAACAGTTTCGATCAAACTGGTGGGGAAAGACTTATGCAGATAATACAAACAGAGTGGCCATAAAGTCTCGCCGTTTCCCGCGGGGTGGGCGGTGGGACAAATGGCTCCCTGGATTGACTGCCGCCCGGGCTGTCCCAAGTCTCGTCTGGGGCCTAAACAGCCTAACCTTGCCCGGGCCAACCCCTGTGCCGAGCCCCCGGCCACCCCTGCAAAGAAAACACAAACCATCTCAAACCTCCCCTGGCTGGCCCTGCGAGCAAGTCACACGTTACACGTTTCCTTCCAGTTTTCCCGGGGTTCGGGGACCCCTGCGCCTGCTCTCTCGCCCCCTGGATGAGAGAATTAGGCGGATTTCTTTCCGAAGTCCCCCTCCAGCAGCCGCAGGCTTAGGCCTCCCTAGAAGCGATCCAGCCTCCTCACCCCACCAGCCAGGGCGCCCGGAGCTCCGGCCCCTTCCCAGCTAGGCTCCGGCCCTTCGGAAAGTCGAAACCCGAGGCTTCCTCCAGGGAAAAATGCGGGGCGACCGGAAAGACAAGTTATTCTCCAGATTCCGTTTCCTGAGGAAGGGGTGGGGAGTTTAGTTCGCTTTGGGAGAAAGACGATGGAGAAACGGAAGGAATTATTTGAAACATACCTGTCCTTTATTTCTTGTTTCCCTTTATTAAAAAATAACGACAACAAAAATAGACCGGTCCCTCTTCTCCTCTCAAAAATGTCCCCCGCTCATTCGCTCTGTAAATGTCACTTCTCTGGGTCGGATTTTGTCGCTGTTAGTGTCCTGGTTTCCCGCGTGGTACGCGACTCCCCCAAACCGGCCGAGGTCCCGCGGGTTCCCTCTTTCTCTCTGGGAGTATCCCCTGGTTTAGTGGGGGCAAGGTCAACTGGAAAGCAAGGGCCGCGAGGGCCTGGAGCAAAGCGGCCGAACCCACCGCCTCCAAGGCCAAAGGCTTCCAGCCGCTGAGACGCTGTACCAGGAGCCGCCCACCCAGCCAGGCCCAGGCCGCGCTCCCCGGTGCCTCTGGTGGCCGGCTTCCTCCTCCCCTGACCCCTAGGTCCCCTCGGAACCTTCTTTCCCGGAGCAGCCCTGAAGTGATCGCGACCCCCTCCCTGACCCACTTCGGACACTGCGATTCCCCGTCAACCCCCCCCAGAAAACTTGCAAGTCAACCAACTTCCGTGACGGGGCGGTCCCCGAACTGAACTCCCAGCCCCAAGGGCCAAGCCCGACCAACGACGAACGAGGACGCAGGACAGCAGAAACTTTAGTCCTGTTTGGGATTCCCTAACTTTTTCTCCCTTTCTCTGCCCACTGGAGCCTTCCACCCCAAGCCTCAACCCTACTCCCATTCCATGGGGAGAAGCGCGGGCGGGAGCCGAGGAGAGGAAAGGGGGAGGTGAGGAGAGGGGAAGAAGTACCTGAATCCTGTCTTGACCTTTTAATTTGAATTTGACTGTTTTGAGCCCCGAGTTGCCTCTCTCTCTCCCTCTCTCCCGTGTTTACCCCCCGCCTCCGCCCCCCTCTCCCCAGGAGGTACAGGCTGGCTCCCGAATAAACAAACCGCATCTTCCCTTGGAATGGGAGAACCCCCCCCATTCCCCTCCACCCCCTCCTGCCCCTGCCGCCCCGGGGGCGCTTCCTTTGTTCGCGGGGAAGGGCTCCGGCGCCCCTACCCCGAGGCGGCTGCTAGGTGGCGCTGTTACTCCACGCTGAGCGCTCCGCCTGCCGACAACTTGACCCCGCTGACGTCACGGCCGTCTGAATCATCAAGGCCATTTTCAAATCCCATTGGTCTAGCCGTCACATGGTGAGGACCGAATGCGCGGATAATTATGGAGCTGATATTTCCCCCCCTCCCCTTCTTTTCCCTCCCGCCCCTCCAAGCGCCCCCCCTCCCGGATGGGGAAAAAAAAAGATGTCAGCTCCTCCGCTGTAGTATTGCTCCTTAAAAACCCCTCTCTCTGAAAATGACATGCCCTCGCAATGTAACTCCGAACTCGTACGCGGAGCCCTTGGCTGCGCCCGGCGGAGGAGAGCGCTATAGCCGGAGCGCAGGCATGTATATGCAAGCTGGGAGTGACTTCAACTGCGGGGTGATGAGGGGCTGCGGGCTCGCGCCCTCGCTCTCCAAGAGGGACGAGGGCAGCAGCCCCAACCTCGCCCTCAACACCTACCCGTCCTACCTCTCGCAGCTGGACTCCTGGGGCGACCCCAAAGCCTCCTACCGTCTGGAACAACCTGTTGGCAGGCCGCTGTCCTCCTGCTCCTACCCACCTAGTGTCAAGGAGGAGAATGTCTGCTGCATGTACAGCGCAGAGAAGCGGGCGAAAAGTGGCCCCGAGGCAGCTCTCTACTCCCACCCCCTGCAGGAGTCCTGCCTCGGGGAGCACGAGGTGCCCGTGCCCAGCTACTACCGCGCCAGCCCGAGCTACTCCGCGCTGGACAAGCCGCCCCACTGCGCCGGGGCCAACGACTTCGAAGCCCCTTTCGAGCAGCGGGCCACTCTCAACCCGCGCGCCGAACATCTGGAGTCACCCCAGCTCGGGGGCAAAGTGAGTTTCCCTGAGACTCCCAAGTCCGACAGCCAGGCCCCCAGCCCCAGTGAGATCAAGACCGAGCAGAGCCTGGCGGGCCCAAAAGGCAGCCCCTTGGAGAGCGAAAAGGAGCGGGCCAAAACCGCCGACTCCAGCCCAGACACCTCGGATAACGAAGCGAAAGGTAAGGCCGTCCGGTCCGCGGCCCAGCTGGGAAGCTCGGGCACTTGGTCTTCGGGGCCGGGTCTGGGGCGGGGGCAGGGGGAGGGTTGGGCCGAGGAGGCCCTGGAAGGTCCCGGGAATGCGACTCCGGCTTGCGACTCGTGCCTCCTGAGCGCCAGACTGGTGGCGCGTCATTTGGCAAGGGAAGGTAAGCGGCGAAGTGGAGGTGCCGGGCCGGCAGCGGCTGTGGGCGCCGAGACCGGGGGTGGCGCGCACCGCGGGCAGCCTGCAGGCGCCCGGTGCTGCCCAGGGCGAGTGACTGCTCCCGAGCGCGTGCTGGCTTTGGTTTGCTTGCTCTACGCTGGTGTCCTGGGGGGGCTCATGTCGCCCCCCGCGCCCCCCCTGCTCAGGTCAGAAGCTTGCAAAAAGCTTAAAATGGCGATCTTGGGCCAGGGACTAGGGAAAACGTGGGAGAAGGGGGATTTCGCTTTACTGCGTTTTCCCAGTTGAAAATTGTTTCCTGCGAAGCGCGATTTGTTGTTTGTGGGTCTGGTGGTGTGCCTGTGGTTTGCGCTCCTGCGGTTTTTGGCTCGGCCGGGGGCCTCGGGCAGCGGGGCTGGGGCCGGAAGAGGTGGAGGTGAAGGGCTGTCCGCCACGTTCCTCCCGCCCCAGATGCCTAGCTTGGGGATGGCGTTGGAACAGGGCATTTGGAATGATGTAAGTTTTTTGTCTCCCCTTCTAAATTTTTTCTTTTCCTTTTTTCTAGTTAAATTAAGAAAAAAATCTTTTCGTTGCTTTCCAAAAGCAGCTTACAAATGAATGGTTGGAAAATTTCTGTGTGCGTGGCATGCGATCTTCTGGAAGGGAGTGTGCCTCTAGTTGAATTTCATTGTGATTTTGGTTGGAGAGAGAAAGCCTAGCCAGAGTTCAAGCTCAGGGTTCAAGATTCATTTCTGCTGCAGGAACTGGGGGCCTCCAGGACCTTTCTCTGACATCTGGAGGAAGAATGTGGAGGAAACGGGAGCAGTGAAGGGGGGCTGAGAGGACCGACTTTCCCTAAAAAGTTGGAGCAAAGAGCATCAGAAAAGGCCCAACTGGGAGCGGAGAAATAAACCTGCTCCCCATGGCACTGGCTACTGGAAGCTGTATATAAGAAGGGCGGCTCGCTGAGCACAGAGGCAGATGAAATAGTGAGAGCTGAGCAGGTTGGGGGCAGCCTGGATCTTGTGGCGCTTTGTATATGGATGCGGTGCACACGCATGCCTGGCTGCAACCCGTGTCACACTTATACACACCCCTCTCGCGTGCTCTGCGCACACTCATGGATGCCTGCTCCCACACACACACATATGCATGCACTCTTGGGGCGGGCAAGGGCAGAGCCTTGCCCTCTGGGGTCTCCTCTGCAAAGGTGGCCTTGGCAGATCAGTCCATGGAGACCCTGGCCAGAAGATGAGCATGGGTGTGTTCATGGGGGTGAGGGGAGGGTGAAGCACATGTACCCAGGAAGCCTTCGTTGGGGCACATGAGTAGCATGAAAGTTTAATTTTATACCCTCTCCCCAGACCCTGGGCTTGGTTGGGGTGTAGCTTTAGGGTAGGAAAAGCTGCATTCTAGCCCCATCAAAAGCAAAGTCAAGGTTAGCAAGTCCACCTCCAACCTGGAACTGCCCCCATTCCAGCAGGCTCCCCTTCTCTCCTGCCCTCCCCACAACAACCTAAGCCCTCCCACCCCAGCTAAGCCCTCTCAGTCTGCCCTGTGCCTGTGCCCTTCTTGCCTCCCCCGCTCCCATTTTGGTGTCTCCATCAGGCTAGAGGCAAGAGGGCTTTCAGCCAGACTTCATCATTTATAATTTCCCCCCTACCCTCCCCCAACCCAACAACCCCAATAAGAAAATAAACAGGACATAGTTGGACATGGAGAGCCTTTAAACAATTTGGCAGGAGGTTGCAGGTGCAGAGGTGGGAGCAGAATTAATGACATTTGGATGTTTTAAACTACTGCCTCAAGTTTGCATTTTTCTGGTCCTTCCTGGTTCTGCTAGGGCCCCCACCCCACTCCCCATCAAGGTGAGATCCAGGAACCTGGCAGTTTCACTTGGCATACAGGGGAGATAGAGTGTAGAGTCCTGTGCTGGGTGCCCCTCTCGGGTCTCTGGACTCTGAGTCTTTCCCTAGAAAAGATGGCCAAGGTCTCTTCTGCTGCTTAAGGAGCAAGGCTGGTCTATTTCAGCAAGAATGTGTGCCAGGGAGAGAAGCTATCAATAAGATAAAGGGAAATACAAACTATTCTTATAGTATCTCCTTATATAAAGAGACACATGTGTACATGCCTATGTGTCTGTATATCTGTGTAGGAGTGTGTATGTGCAGGAATACACATGTATGTGCAGGCATACATACCTGCATAGTCTAGGCAGGAGATTTCCAGGAGGCTGCATTTCCTCAGGATATCTCTCTCCCTTGACCTTAGGTCCTACGGCCAGGGCAGTTGTCTGAGGACCCTCAGCATGCCCAGAGCTGTTGCCCCTGACCTCTGCTGCCTGCACAAGCCCCCTGCCTCAGCTACTCACACCTGGGGGAAATGGCCAGGAGAGGAAGAGCTGGCCATGGGAGATCGAATGGAGCAGAGTTGCTCTGTGGCACTTCAGGTGGGAGCAAGGGCTGGGGGTCTGGTGCAGGGACAGCTGCAATGGCCTCTGGCCACAGAGACTGGGGCGATGTTCCTCCGCTTAGTTGGAAGGGGTCAAAGCTCTCTGGGAATTGCTCTAGGCAGCATGGTGGACTCTGCAACCTGGTGTGGGGCCTGGAAAATGCTTATCCTTCTGGTTGCAGCTTTCCAGAGCTGGAAGGGAACAGAGAGGAGGGAAGGCCTGGTGAGCTTCAGAGCACCCACGAGGGTCAGCAAGCTGAGGGAGAGTGGGAGTACTCAGAATCTGCTAGGTCAAGGTGGATTTGGGTAATTTACATTTAATAAGCACTTTGGAGGCAAGAACCTTCTGTCTTTCTCCCCTGTAAGTCTAGACCCCAAAGACATTCTGAGAGCCCTGAGCCCCAGAGGACTGCACCAGCCGGGCCTGTGGGGCAGAGCAGCTCCCCAGTGCTCCCTCAGCCGCCCCCACAGCAGGCTGGCAAAGGCTGCAGCATGCTGCGAGGGCTTGCCTCTTCGAGGGTTACTTATGTAAATAATGTTATTTTTAACAGAGGAGATAAAGGCAGAAAACACCACAGGAAATTGGCTGACAGCAAAGAGCGGAAGGAAGAAGAGGTGCCCCTATACTAAACACCAGACGCTGGAATTGGAGAAAGAATTTCTGTTCAATATGTATTTGACGCGAGAGCGCCGCCTGGAGATTAGCAAGACCATTAACCTTACAGACAGACAAGTCAAAATCTGGTTTCAAAATCGCAGAATGAAACTCAAGAAAATGAACCGAGAGAATCGGATCCGGGAACTGACCTCCAATTTTAATTTCACCTGAGCGCGCGGCCTCCCCTCCCCCTCCCCTCCCCCCCCCCCCTTCCTTTCCCCGCCCCTCCTCCCTTTGTGCCTGGTGGTATATTTTTTTTTTCTCCCTGAGTATAAATGCAACGCGCCTGCAAAAAAAGGCAAAGACCTCAGACTCTCCTTCCAAGGGACCTATGGTTCGTGCTGCGAAGATGCACCGTCCTAAAGCATGAGAAATGGCGTGCCGGGTGTGGGCTGTGGGGTGCCCGCATAGCCGAGGGTGGGAGTGTGGCTGGTGTGTGTGTCAACCCCTCACTCACCCACGCACTCACGCACAGCATCCTGTTCTCCCTGCAAAGTTAAGGTTGAATCCACCCGATTATAGGGGAAAAAAAGAGGACAAAAATCAACCAGAGAAGGTCTGTAATCTCGCAGAGCACAGTCAGAATTGCTCCTTCCTTGCTGCATTTCCTTCTTAGAATAATAGACGTTTTGGAAAGTTCGGCTAGTGTTTGTGTGTTTGTTGTAGCGCCCAGCGCCTCCGCCAAACCCCTCTCCGTGTCTTTACCTCCCAGTCGCTCTGGAAATCTGCTTGAAGTCTCGTATTTGTACTGCTTTCTGCTTTTCTCCCATCCTCCCAGCACCCCCACATTCCCCATCCACTGACATCTCAGAAATTCCATCCAGAGGAACAAAAAAAATTAAAAATTAAAAATAGAACATAGTGAAGCAAAGACAGAATGTCCCCCCCTCCAATATCCTCCTGTCCCTGTCTGGGAGTTGTGTTATTTAAAGATATTCTGTATGTTGTATCTTTTGCATGTAGCTTCCTTAATGGAGAAAAAAATCCTAATAAATTTCCAGAATCGTAATCCTCAAATGGGTGGTTTTTTGTTTTTAGTGTTTTTCAGTGACACCCCCCCCCTCCCAAAAGAGGCTGAGTGTGTGGATGTGTGTGTTTTGTGTTTGACTCATCTCCTAGAGCCTTTCTAGAATGTCTCTTGGTGGGTTTAATGTAAGTGAGAGACCATAACGTTGATTTAAATATTATCCAGGTGACCACAATAAGTCAAGGTCATAAAACAGTAATGTCAGGACGGTCTTGGTGCGCGCGAGAGGTGGATTTTATGATCTGCAAATATAATGTGGTGCTGCAGTAAAAGATGCATTTAAAGGTGACTGGAGGAGGGAAAGAGGCAGAGAGCAAACTGCAATCTTGAGGAGCAGACGGATCTGATTGCCTGGGGTGCTGGGCCAGGCGAACCCCACCGCTGCTGGGGGGAACCCCAAGAGCCCCCCACCTATCCAAGGAGAGGAATAAACTTAACCGCCGGAGGGGGACGAGGAGCTCAGCCACCCCCCCTCGACAGCAGCAGTAGAAGCGCGGGCAGCGGCAGGAGGAGGAGGCAGCAGCGACAAGGTAAGAGAAGCGGTTTCTTGTTCTTCTCTTGGCGGCGGAATGGGGACTAGCGGCGTCCCCAGGTGCCCGGCGCGCAGCGGGCAGAGCTGGGAGGAAGGTGTTTCGGGCATCCGTGCTTGCTGAGAGCCCAGGCTTGCCTTGTGGCTGCTCGCAGCGGAGGGCAGTGGCCGTGAGCTCCCTTTCCTCCCCTCCCCGGCCCATTGCTGTGGGGTTCGGCGGTTAAAGGGGTAGATTGGTGGTTTTTGGCTTTTTTCTCTACACGGGCACTTAGGGTCGCCTTGAGGTCGACACATGGGTCTTGATGTCGCTCAGTCTGGTTGTCTGCTGGGGGTAGCAGAGAGGGTGGGCTAGAGAGGGTTGGAGCTTGAAGCTTAGGTTTTCCTGCTTTCTGCTGGCTTGGATGTGAGCCTTGTCCAGGCTCTTGGTCCCCACTCTCCCTGGCTGTGGGGCTTTACGAGGCAAATGGCCTGATTGGAAGAGGCTCTGGAGCACAGGCACCGTGGTTTGGCCACCCATAGACGCAAGGAAGCTGGAGTCTAGCAGAGAGAGGGAGAGGATCAGAGGAAATCTAGAAGGAGAGCTCAGGAGAGGCAGATGGACAAGACAGGGGACCCAGCTCAAGAGTGGAAGGGCACTCCAGCTTCCCCCAGGGCCAGGGCCAGAGCCAGGGGAATAGCTCCACTGCGGTGCTGGGGGCGGGGCGGGGTTTTGGCGGCTGGAGGTCCCATTTCACCAGAGTTTCCCTGAGCAATTTGCTTAGACCAGAAGCTGATGAGGCAGTCAGATCCCCTACCCACTCAGCCACCCAAAGTCTACTCTCTAGTCCTTAGGGAGGTTGTGGGGGCGGAAAGGGGGACGGGGCTGAATTTCTTCCTTCCCCAACCCCCTTCCCTTCTCCTCCCGGTAGATGCAAAGCCGAATCTCCCGCCCTGCTCGCTCAGCTGATCTGTGGCTTAGGTAGTTTCATGTTGTTGGGATTGAGTTTTGAACTCGGCAACAAGAAACTGCCTGAGTTACATCAGTCGGTTTTCGTCGAGGGCCCCAACCCACCTATCCCACTTCTCCCTTCCCCGGTGGGACTGCCCCACAGCCCCCTCCCAGATAGGGTACAGTGGGTACAGACTGAGGAGGGCAAGTTGTGATTGGGGCCACAGGACAGGTCTGGAGAAGCCTGCTTTGTACTGTCCCCCCTCAGCCTGTCCCAATGCCTGTGACTGAGGGAGAGGAGTTTCTCCTGCAGCTATTGTTTCCTGGGCCAAGCTGATGGAGACAGACAAAGAAGGTCTAGCCAATTCCAAGGAAATTCAGGAATTTGAGTAAGAGGTGGCCTGATGGGCCAGCTCAGTTGGGCAGCAGGGTGAGGCAGGAGTGCTAGGAGACTGAGGAACACAGAAAGGCAAAGCAGTCTCTGGAAGGGTTAGCTTCTCTCACCAGCCACCTCCAAGGAAAAAATACGCCTCCAGTCAGCTGGAGCTGGAACTTCCCCTTAGAAAAGTGGGGTGCCTACGGGGGGGGGGGGGGGGGGGATCCCAAGAGTTGGAGAACTCTGAGCACCAGCTCAGCCACCTCCCCTTCCCCTTCTACAGCTCTGTTCCCAGGAGAAGAGAATATTTGGGGTGTTAGTTAGTGAGAGGAAAGCCATCAAGTCCAAGTAGAAACCCCTCACACACACCCTAGTGGGGAACGTCAGGGCAGGAACCTGGCTCTGGTCTCTGTCTAGCTGTCTGTGGCCCATAGGCCTTGGTCTGTTGTGTCTGTGGCTGTCAGGCAGCTGCTTGTCCTTGCGCTGTGTGGAAATGTCTGGGTGAGCGGAGGCTGCCAGCGCCCACCATTACCATATTGTTGGGAAGGTTGTTGGCTGATGCCAGGGGGAGGAGGGGTGGATAATGGGGTCAGGGAGAATCTGAGAAATGTGAAACTTTGCAAAGCTTCTTCTCCTCCTTTTCCCTCCTGGTCCCTCAATTCTGGTCCTGGTTGCTAGAGAAAAGGCTCTCAAAAAAGGTTTCTCTGCCTGCAGAGAAAAATGGGGGGGGGGGGGTCAGGAAAATGGGGAGATTTACCCCTGTTCTCAGAGAGACTAGAAAAGAGAAAGCCAAAAGGAGAAGGACAGGTTCTTGGTGTTCTTACTTTGGAATTATTATGATTATTAAAACATTATAAACTTTCAGACAGGGGAACAAAATCATGTCCCGATGTCAAAATATATACATGGAGTTCCATATTCTGGCAATTGTCTGTGTGTGGGGGGATATTTGTAACATTGTATAAGTGTGGGTCTCTGCTTCTGTATCTCTTTCTCCTCCAGGTCTCTCAGATCCCCAGTACGTAGTTACCAGCATACCCATGTATCTTTCTCTCTCTCTGTACAAAGAGATTTCTTTTGACCCCAAGGAGGCTGGAGGAAAAAATGGTAACAGAGTCTTTCTTCTCCCCAGCTGAATTTGTCAGTCTGTCTTTCTGTCTGTCCCTCAGCCCTTTGTAGGGGAAAAAAATCTCTTCCTTTGGAGGCAAGTGCTCAAATCTCTCTATGGCTCCCGGGAACATAGGTTTTCAGAGAGGAAGACCAGCTGGGTCGAGGCAGGCAGGGGCTCCCCTAGTTTGGGAGCCCCCAGCAGTCTCTGAGTTTTCAGGCTGTCAGAGGCACAGGGCCAGTTGGAGTGAGGGGAGTCCCAGGCAGGGGCGGGGGCTCCCGAGTGCCTGGCTTGGAGACAGCATCCCTGATGGGCCGAAATTCACCAATGAACGACTTCTGCGCTTTGGGTCTTTCTACCCCCCCACCCCCACCCCCGTTTCCGTTTCAGAGCCGCTGGGCTTATGGAGGGGGGGTGGCCACAGAGCCATGGGTCTGGGTGTGTCCCCCCCCTCAAATCCTGAGGAATGGGACAAGTTTTCATAGGGCCAAGGTGAGGGCCAGTCTGGTGGCCAGAGTCCACCCCAGGGCCCTGGGGCCGTGGATCATGGCTAAGGCAGTGGTGATTATTTATTCGCTTCGCTGGAAGGGAGTCTTCAGAAGAAACAGCGTGAAGAGGAGGGAAAAAATTATCTCTCTCGTCTGCGGATATTAAGATGGATTTTTATTTCTTAAAGGACCCTCCCCGCCGAGAGCGCATAAGCGTAAACTTAATATATGCTCCGCAGCCCAACTCCAGAAATCGCAATAAAAGTTAAAACCTCCCCTACTGGTTTTTTTTAATTATGATATGGGAAAGAGGAGCAGGATTTATAGAGCTGAACTCTCGGCGTGTGAGTGTTTAAGACTTGCGGGAGAAGGAGGAAAAGGCAAGAGCTTGCCAAGGAGAGCTTTGGTCTCTGAGACACCTCGCCGGCTGCCGCTCGGCTCAGCCTGGCCGATCCCCTGTGGCCTCCCTGGGACCTCGGCTCCCCAGCACACTCTGCCCGGGCCCACGGCCTTGCCTCGGCTCGGAGATGCAGCCCTTCCCGAGAACAGGTGAAGGGCAGCGGCGGCCGGGGACGGGGGCTGAGGGTGGGAGCGTCAGGGCACGGGCTTTGTGTGGGTCCCATGGAGGGGAGGATGTTTGCAGTCCGGGGAAGGGCCGCAGCCCGAGTGGCCAGGCGGGTGCCTTGGCTAGGAGGGGTGTCCGGGCCGGGCGCGAAAGCACGGACAAGGTGGATTGTGTGTGGACTTTGGCCGCAGACGGAGCGGAGCGGGCTCCCAGGCAGAGGCCAGCGGCAAGGCAGGCAACCGGATGTTGAGTCTGTAGGAAGGACCTTGAGGTCTGTTTGGTGTTTGGGCTGCCGGGGGGCGGCGGCCGGGAGTGCGGAGCGCGCAGTGCGCGGGGCGCGGCGGTCAGCGTGGGCGAGGCAGCAGGCCCGGCACACCTCTGCAGCTGCAGGGCCGGGTCCAGGGCGGCTGAACTGAGGCCGACCACTGGTCAGGGCATGACAAATAAATGCAGTGAGGGGTCTTTCTTTCTTTCTTTTCCACGTGAGCGGTCCTTTCTTTTTTCTCTTTCGGAGATACCTGGATTTGGTCCAGAACAGGTTGCCCGCGGGAGGGCCCCGCGAGCGGCAGCGCGCAAGGGAGGGAGAGAGGGAGGGAGGGCGAGACAGAGGGAGGGAGGGAAGGAGGGCGGGCAGCGGCGGCTGCGGTGGCCGGGGCTTCCCTCCCCCGGCGGGAGGCGGCTGCCCTGCATCTGTGGCCGTGGGGAGCCGAGGAGCAGGTAACGAAGGCGCTTCCCGAGGCGGGATTGGACCAAGCCAGAGGGACCGAGGGACGGAGTCTTCCGGGTCTCTGCCCAACGCCCTGGAGGGGAGAGAAGGTAGGGAGATCGGCGCCCGCCGGCCTGGCAGAGAGGCCCTGGGCAATGTTGAACCTGTATTTGATTTCAGGCTCACACTCATGTTGTGAGTCTGTCTGCCTCCGGAGATGCGGTTTGCCTGTCTGTCTGTCTGTCTGAGAGGTCCCAAAACCTAGGCTCTCCTTCCAAAGGCTGAAAAAATCGGGAAAATTCGTCGGAGTGTGCACTTTCATTCATTGGATTCTCTGTAACTCAGCCGGGCTGGTTGCTGCGCCCCCAAGTTGGAAGGGAGCTTGCGGGATGCCGGATCCCCTGGTTCCCTCCGCCACGGGCTGAGTTTCCGGCTCCAGGTTCGCGGGTTGCCCTGAGGTTTGAGGCCAGACAGCTCCTAGTCTGGCAGGGAGGGCGGGGGAGAGACTAGCAGCTCTGGCCCCTTAATTGTACTTCGGACCCGTATTGTCTCTCCTTTCGCCACCTCGGCTTCCTCAGTCTGGGCTCCAAAGTCACTGCAAATTTTCTTGCGACACACACGCACCACACCAAGATCAGGTAACAAGGCGCCCAGGGCCATGGGGGCTCCAGGCAGAGAGCACCCCTAGCTCTGAGGCTGCTCCCCCTCCAGCCACTTCCCAGGCTGGGAAACTAGACCGGGTTGGGGGCGCCGGAAATAGCCCCGTTTGCTGCGGGGCGGCAGGGCAGGGGGCCGGCGGGAAGGCAGGCCGTGGCGTTGAGAGGGCCACGTTCACAGGCCCTAGGGGTTTCACTCCTGCTGGGCTTGGGGACCTGACTCCTGGTGTGTAGGGATCCCGGATACCCACCTGGGGTGGGGGCAGGACGCGGGTCTCCTCGCGGCAGGCCAGAAGAATTCAGTCTCTGCTTCCAGCGCAGGCCTTAGCTAGGAGGAGTTGTGTGTGGGTGTGTTTTTCCCAACAAAGAGGGATCAGGAGAGAGAAGGGGGGAAAGTAGAGGGGAACCAGGGAGGGGGCGGGGAGGGGGAGAGGGCAGCGGAGAGGTGAAATGAGCCCATTTCAGGGGGAGAAGGAAAATGAAAGCAAATGGAGCAGGGCCTCCTCCGCGCGCGCAGGCAGACGGGCGGGTGCTGACGAGCCGGGAACGGGCTCCCTGCCTGCAGAGGCCGGGATGGCCCGCTGGGGGACGGGGAAAAGCCTGTTTTAAATTTAATCCGAACTTGACGGTGTGGATTGAACCGGAGGGAATTTAAATCACTAAAAGGGAGGTGCAGGGCAGGGGGAGGGGATGACTCTAACCTGTCTTTCTGTCTGTTTGTCCTTCCCACGGTGGTGCTAGCTTGGTTGTGGTGGCAGCTGTCCAGGTCTGAGGTGATGGAGTAGGGTGCCCCTCCCCCTTAGGGGGCTCTCCTGTGCCCTGTGAAACCTTTTGGGGTCGAGGAGGCACTCTAAGAACCAGAGTGGATGCAGAGCTGCCAGCTAAACCTGGGGTTCCCCAACCCCCTCCCCAACAGAGACTCCCAGTGGCCTCCAGTCCCTTGGTTTTGCCCCAGCAGTGCTGAGGAAAATTGAAGGGAGAGGTGGGGGTGAGAGGGAGTCTGGGAGTCTGGCAGGAGATTCAGCTGGAGTCACTGAACCTGGGAAGACAAGCCCCTCCTTCTTGGTGCCCCTACACTCTTTGTGCCTCCACACCTACAGGCCTGGATTAGGGGGAGCCTGAATGTCTGCTTCAGAGCCCTGAGCTACCACCCCACCTCCAAATGCAGAGAATGGGGCTACAACCCACGTGCAGTTGTGCAGTTGTGGAACCTGAGGGCCCTCGGCCTGGCCTGGTGAACTCAGGGACTCCCAGCCTCTTCCAGCCCCCTCCTCAAGCCTGCCTCTCTCAGCAAGGCCTAGGCAAAATGGGGCATTGGTGGGGAGGGGGCTGTGGGCGAGGCCTGCTTCCTGATCCACAGCTGTGTCTGTGCCTGAGTGGGGAAGGTCTGAGTTCACGGTCTAAAACGAAGGTGACAATCTCCCCTCAGTTTCTCGGGGAATTTGATGGCAGCAGGGAGCGTGGGCCGAGTGATCCTGGGTGATCCCGCTGCCCTGCTGCTGCTGCCTCTGCTGGGTGGGCAGGCAGGGTGGGCAGGCAGCTCCAGAGTTGAAAAGAAGGCAGTGGCCAAAGTGGGGTAAGAGAGAAAGGGGCATCTGTTTACAGCCACTGTGTCTGAGGGGCTCTCCCAAATAAAAGAGGCCCATAAGAGAGGATCTTTAGGGGCATCTTTCTTCTAGGAAAACCGAGGTTGGGGCGGATGGGCCTGTCGCCTGGCAAAGATGCAAAGGAGGAGCCAGCGTGAAAGCTCCTTCGTCCTGTCTTCTTTGCTCCTGGGTGGATGCCTGGGCCGAGATGGGGTTCTCCATCCCAGAGGCCTAGTGTACCCACCCCAGCAGGTCGCCTGGGAGGGGCAGGAGAGGAGGCCTCTTCCTCCTTTGTGTCCGGACAGAAGTGGCCGCTGCGCCCCGGAGCTGGTCCCGCGGCAAAGGCCCGGCAAGCTAGCGGACTGCACAATGCCACGGCTGCTCCGCCAGCCCGCGCCCTGCCCTGTCCTGCCTGCCTGTCGCCGCCCTTCCTCCGGCTCACTTTCTGCATGCCTTCCTTTCCCTACTCTCCTGTCTCCTTTCATCTTGCCTCCCCTCTTTTCTTTAATTCTCCCCTCTCTCCTTCTTTTTATCCAAATTCTCCGTTTTCTTCTTTCCTTCCCTCCTCCCTTCCTTCCTTCCTCTCCATGGGCCTGGCGCCGTGTTTCAGATGTTCTTTCTCAGGCTGTCTCAGGCTCAGTCTCTCACAGGCTCTGTCCCCTGATGTCCTCTTGGTCGCAGTCTGGCCCCGGGCCTGCTGAAGGCTACATGTCTCTGCTCATCGCTGCCAGCAGCCTCCCAAGAGCTGGGCAGTGTCCCCCAGCCACCCTGGCTGGAGGAGGTGCTGCCGGTGCTGGGGATTTGGAGAAAACCTCGGCAGGGGGAGAGGAACCTCCTGTCTTTTCCTTGAACTAGTGAGGGAGAATTTTTGATTGACAGCTAACCCGACTCCTTCAAGGCCAAAGAGATATTGTGTTTCTTGCTGTAATTTAGATTTCCCAGGCCAGTCCAGTCCGGGGGAGGGGAAGACAACCGGAGCCGAGGGTGAGGAGGCTGAGGCCCCGGGGTCGCCTCTCCCCAGCCAGGCACTTCTCACATCCCCCCCGTGCGTCGAAATCCCAGCCCCGCTTGACCGAAAAGGAAAGAACCAGAGAGGGGGAGGAGCAGGGACTGGGGAGGGGGCCTGGCAAGCTGGGGTCAGTGCTGCAGGCTGCAGATCTACCCTTCCCCCCTCAACTTCCCTCCCCCCCAACACACACACTACACTCTCTGGGACACCTCTTTCTGGCCTTCTCCACCCCAGAGGAGACAGGTCAACAGAGATGCAGGAGAAAACTAGCCTCCGCCCCCACCCCTGGCATTTGGTGCCCTCCTGGGGACAGGAGTGGGAAAGAAGGGCAGGCATCTTGGGTCTGGGAATCCTTGTCCTTCCCTGCTGCCTCAGAGCCTGCAGCTCAGCCTCAGCTCCTGCCTATTTCCGTTAGCGCAAACTGGGGCTCTTCCCTTCTGACTCTGAAATTGCACCCCTCCTCCAAACTCACTGTGCCATGCCTAGGATGCATCTGTCTCTGGGGACCCCACCTGCCCTTCTGCCCCCCAGCCAACCTCCCTGCCCCTCTCTTGCACCCATTCTGAGAATTCCTGCTTGCCTAAAGCCCACCTTTACGAAACCATCATGGGACAGTCTGATGGAAAGCAGAGGGCTGGGCAACGAACCCCAAATTCAAGGAGGAGGGTAGCAGCCAACTTACTGGGGGGAGGAATCGAAGTTGTCTGATCTTTCCTACTATCACACTGCCCCCTCCAGAATTTCTGCATCAGACCCCAAAGAAACCGCTCTCTCCCATCCCTCCGTTGCTTTTTTCCCGTTCCAAAACAGCCTACAATTTTATTTAATGAAAGACACATTTATGAACAATCAAATGATCCTCATAAAAATTTTATTGAAGGACGTAAAAACAAGCTACTTGCCCACGACCGAGGTCGCTCTCTTGCCTTGCCCGCTCTCACCCTGGCTCTCTGCAGACAGAGCCTGGGACTGACTTCTTTGGGGGAGGGGGGCAGGGTGTCGCAGAGACGGAGCTGGGGACAAAGTAGGGCGAGCAGGAAGACGGGATGGGGACGCCTCACTTAAGTTGTGTAGATCTCTCCTCCACTTCTTCAAGCTGGCAAAGAAAGATAAATAGACATAGACAAATTTAAAATAAAGGCGCTTGCACATCTGTGTCAAAGCAAACAGAGGACTTCTGATGATAAAGGTGTATGAGGTCCCGAGGTCCTACCCCTCCCACCCGCGGACCACCTTCCCCAAGCTTCCTCTACCCAAGATTTGGGGGGCTGAGTTGGCCAGTGGCAGAAGGACGTTCCCCTTTCCTTCCTTCCCTCCCTCCACCCCAGCTTCCCCAGTCCCCTCCCACCCTCCCTCCCTCGCTGCTGCTGCTCCTGAAAGAAATACATACATACACACCATTTAAAAACGCATTTTTAAAAGCCACGTTCCGAACTGACAATCGCTGATCTCGGCTCGCGCAGAGACTGCGGGAGCGTCGGGGCCGACAGAGACGGATTACGTCAAGAAATAGTTCCTCCACCTACCTCGGCGGCCTCTCCGCCCCTGCGGGGCTCCCGCGCCCAGCTCGGCCCGGGGGTCCGGGGACCCTGGCTTCGGGGACTGGCATTTTCACCCCATTAAGAAATCCGCCTGGGGGAGGGGCGGGAGGCCATCTGCTTATGGGTGGACATGGGCCAGGGGGCTCCCTGATGAGATACGACTTGTCCTGAGGGGGTGGCCGACGCCTCGGGTCCAGAGTCCCGGACCCCCAGGAAAACGCAGGTCGCGGGGATCAGCAGAGAGAAGGGGGTGGGAGAAGAAAAAAAAAAAAAAGCAAGGAAAAAAAAAGCCCCTGCGCATTGATCCGCGCCGTATTTTTGGGTAAATACGATCACGTGGGGGCCGGGGAACCAATGAGCTGCGGGGAAAAGGCTGGAAAAATAATTACCTGCCTTGATTGTTCTGTGAGCAGATAAAAAGTACATATACAGTTCATACAATAATCTTATGTATGTAAAACCCCGTTACGATGTCGGCGACGGGGCCCATCAGTAACTATTACGTGGACTCGCTCATCTCCCACGACAATGAAGACCTCCTAGCGTCCAGGTTTCCGGCCACGGGGGCTCACCCCGCCGCCGCCAGACCCAGCGGGCTGGTGCCGGACTGTAGCGATTTTCCGTCCTGTAGCTTCGCGCCCAAGCCGGCCGTGTTCAGCACGTCGTGGGCGCCCGTGCCCTCGCAGTCGTCCGTGGTGTACCACCCGTACGGCCCCCAGCCCCACCTCGGCGCCGACACGCGCTACATGCGGACTTGGCTCGAGCCGCTGTCCGGCGCCGTCTCCTTCCCCAGCTTCCCGGCCGGGGGCCGTCACTACGCCCTCAAGCCGGACGCCTACCCCGGGCGCCGCGCCGACTGCGGCCCGGGCGACGGCCGCAGCTACCCGGACTACATGTACGGCTCGCCCGGGGAGCTGCGCGACCGCGCCCCGCAGACACTGCCCTCGCCCGAGGCGGACGCCCTCGCCGGCAGCAAGCACAAAGAGGAGAAGGCCGACCTGGACCCCAGTAAGTTGGGAGCAATTTTCCTTTACAACCAGCGCAGGAGGGGAGGGGAGGCCGGGCGGGGGGAGCCGGATTACAGCCCCTCGGAGCGGCGCAGGGAGCGCGGGAGAGGGGCGAGGGCGAGGGGGCGAGGACTCAATAAAAGCGAATTACCTTGCGGAGCTTTCAGGGGCAGGAAGGTCTGAGAAGGGGGCCCAGGGAGCCAGGTTGGGAGAGGGCTGAGGGGGGCTCCTCTCCCAGGAGCTGGCTTTGATGAGAGACCCCCGCCCCCAACACCCCCAGCCCAGGCTTTTTGGCTCAGTCGCTACTTTCGAAGAAATGCACACAGGGCCAGGGGATGGGGTGGGGGCGAGGTTCATTTTATGGTTGGAAGTGGGATGGGAGAGAGATGAACAGGACACTGGGGGCAAAGAGGAAGTACCCCAGGGAGAGAAATCACCCCTACCTCCCAGCCAGCCTGTGTGGGGGGTCCTCACCCCACTAGAGATTTGTAAGACAGAAGGTCCATGCACTTCTCCCCCAGGAGCATTGGGTGAAGGATCTGGGGGATTTCACAGCCTGGGAACTTGGAGAGATCAGGACTTCCAGAGTTGGGGGAGAGAAGTGGGGTCCCAGTCTCCTTAAACTTGAGAGCCCTCTTCTGAAGGTCTGTAGGAGAGAGGGCTGAGAATGAGGGTCAGGGACGAGGAGTGGGGAGAGGCAGCTCCCCAGATTAGAGAATTATACACATACACACACACACACACACACACACACACACACACACTCCAGTCAGGGAGACAGGAGCCTTCTGAGTATTGCAAAGAAGTGTGTGTGTTGGGGGGGGGGGGGCAGGTGGGAGCTGCAGGGCCAGAGAAAGGGGAAAGAAGGGGAAACAGCAGGGGAGGGGGTGCAGCCCCCTGGGTGTGAGGAAGTGTCTGGGGGAGTCCCAGGAGGGGGCTACAGGAAATCCTTTCCTCCAGCCCCATAAGGGGCCAGGGCCTAATTATACCCCTCTGAAGGCTTTCCTCCTTGCCCTCAGCTACTCCCATAAACCTGAAATTGGAGGCTTGGCTCCTGCAGAGCCTGTCCTGAGGCTGGCAGGAGGGGGGCACTGGAAGCCAAAGAGGGAAGCTGAGATATAGGGGAGCCTGTCCTCCAAGGCCAGCAGCTCTCCAGGGAGAGGAGAAAGGCTTTTCCCATCCCAGCATCACCCTGAGAATTCGCCTCAGCAGGGTTGAACTCCGAGAGCGAAGACAGCGGAGACGGGCGCTGGAGAGAGTCATGAGGGGCTTAGGGACTCTCAGGGTCAGGAAGCAGAACTGCTGAAATTTCAGGACTTGGTCGTGGGCTGGGAGGATGGGAGGGGGCAGAGGAGGAGGGAAGTGGGGAGGAGAGAGACCTCGCTATAAAAATAAAAAACAAGAGAGAGAAGCGTTTATGGGCCTATGAAACGGTTGGGAATTTGGACTTTTTATGAGGATATTCTCGAATTACTACTCTTGAAGCTGAGGAGCAGACTGTAGGGGCTTTGATAGCTTCGATTTCCTATAGTTTTAGGTGCTGGAAACTGAGGAGCGGGGAGATGAGGAGGGGGCAGAAGGCAAAAGGAGTAAGGGGGGAAATTCCTAAAAACAAAACGTGTCCAAATTCAGGTTCAATTGATGGGTTTTGGGAGCCTGGTGAAGCCTGGGGGTGGGGGTGGCAGGGGTCCTGGGCTGGAAAGGGGCTCCACTGACCCCTGCCTGTGTTTGCCCCTCCAGGCAACCCTGTGGCCAACTGGATCCACGCCCGCTCCACGAGGAAGAAGCGCTGCCCCTATACCAAGTACCAGACGCTGGAACTGGAGAAAGAGTTTCTCTTCAATATGTATTTAACCAGGGACCGTCGGTATGAGGTGGCCCGGGTTCTCAACCTCACCGAGCGGCAGGTCAAAATCTGGTTTCAGAACCGGAGGATGAAGATGAAAAAGATGAATAAAGAGAAAACCGACAAGGAGCAATCCTAAACCCTGCCCCGGCCTGCTGCCTCGGCACAGCCAAGGGAAAAACAAAAAAAACCCCACAAAAATACCCCAAACCAGGCGGGAGAGAGGACGAAAAAGAAAAGGAAAGAGCAAGATAGAGAAAAGCCAATCAGCTTAAAAAGGAAAAAAAAAAGGAAAGGGAAAAGGAAAACTCTTGCGATTTGGGAGGGTTCAATGTTGAGAAATTGGTGTTTTAGAGTTAGTTCTACCCAGCGAGGAGGAGGAGGCGGGGAGAGAAACCGCGTTCTCTTCTCCCAGCGCAACTGAAATAAATGACACACTCAAATGTGATTTTTTTCTCCTTTCTTCAGAGAAGCCAGTACTTGAATCGCTATATTTCTATTTTTTTTCCTGTATTGTATTTGGTCCGGGTCATCCCTCCCCAGGCCTGGGGTGCTCTGCGTGCAGATTTTGTACAAAAAAGACACACATACATATACAATAACGATTCCCAGCCCAGGCGCTGAGGGTTGAGGGCCGGGGACCGTGCCGCAGGCTGGGTCCGGCGGCTCAGGCCGGCGCCTCGGGCATGTGCATAGCAGTGTCTCCTCTCATTCCCAGCGTCCGTCCTGTAATGTGCTTCTGTTTGTTATGGTAGAACAGCTCTGTGTTAATATATCGAAGTCACTTAAAAACCCAGAAATCCAACTGCATCCAGTTCTCGTTATTTCTCCTCCCTGTGGCTCCCAGGCTGCTGTCCTGGAGGAGGCAAGTGCTCAGATCCTTTGGGGGAGATGGGAGGCAGCAAAGGAGCTCCCTCTACCTTGGAAGGACAAGTGCCTGCCGCTTCTCTCCAGGCAGGGTGGGGTGGGGGTGGGGGCTCCAGAGGTGGTGTGGAGGCTGCTGAGGCCACAGCCCAGCTTGTGTCTGCCCCGGCTGGCTGCCTTCGAGTTTCCTGGTAGCTCAATGGAGTCATGGGTGGGTGGATGGGGGCACGGCTTGAATGGTTTTCCCTAGCTGTAATTAATTGTAATAATTTATGAGTACATGAGATCGGAGGGAAGAGATAGGTGAAGATGAAAGTTGGGTGCTGGGTGAGGGCCCAGGTTGGATTCTTGCCTGCCTGTTTTGGTGCTTCGAGCAATGGCTGCAGGGGGGAGGGAGGGTGTGCGGTGATCGGTGAGGAAAAAGGCTGAGCAGGCCTCAGGGAGCAGAATAGACGCTGAGGATTGTGCTGAGAGTAAAAGAAGGAAGATGCAGAGAGCGAGAGGAAGTAGGGAAGGAAGAAAGAAAGATGGAAAAGGAAGGAAGGAAGGGAGAGAGAGGGGGAGGAAGGGCAGGAGGGAGGAAGAAGGAAGGAAGGAAGATAGGAGGAAAGGAAGGAAGGGAGGGAGGGAGACGGCAAAGTCAATACAATCAGAACTAGATTTAGTTTCTACTTCTCAGTGCATTCTCAGCTTCTCTCTCTCCCCATCTCCTAGTTCTCTCTTTTCTTGTCTATCTCTCTCTGGTGTTTAGTTTGAATGTTGGTTTGGGGGTGACCTGGTTTTGCTGAGCGGCTGCAGCATTTCTGGAGGATGGTGTGGCCAGGGCCCAAGGATTAGCCAGGAGTGGAGTGTGCCCTGGTGGCTGTGGGACCCCAGGTGCAAGAGTGTGGGGATGTGTGTGTAGCAGCCCGATGGGGCTAGTCAGCTGCACCGCACCCCATAGTGCCTCCCCAGAACCGGCAGTTTTCATCTGCTAATCAGAAGCAGACACAAGCTGCTGGGTCTGCTTCGGCCCGGCGCCCCCTTTCTCGGAAATCCCCCAATCTGGAAACTATTAAACTCAGACTGCTTGAAATATAGCCCTTTAATATCTCAGGCTGCCCATTCTGGCGAGGGTACAGGGCGTTGCTCCGAATACTTGGGGAATACCACCATAAAAGAAAATAATTGGGGACCCCAGTCCGTGTGCAGCTCCCCCCATCTGTCACCTTACAGGATTGGTGAGGCACTTACAGGGACCAGCCCCTTCCCCATCATTTGAATCTCCTACCCGCTCCTCCCATTGAACACTCCAATTTCGGGGGCTGGAGGAAGGTGGGAAGGGGTGAACATTTTGTTTCGATCATATTTCGAGGGGGTCCATCAAAAGTCGCAGGAACCGTTTGGTTTTCCTAGTCACTGAAG